CTGGATTTAAAAATTGGAATAAGTATTTGAGATGGCTGCATAAGTGATAATTTCTGATGGGTTCAAAGGTCAGGAGGAGGGGTGTATTGAGTCATATTCTTTGAGGTTATAGCTCGTTACAATTAGTCAAAGAGATATAGGATTGAGAAATTCAATGCCTATCAATCTGATGGCACAAATCAGATTGGGAACTTCATTAGAAGTGAAGTGTTCTTGGAGAGTCTTNTAGGGAAAANGAGGCTGTTGGATGTAGCTACAGGATGGTGAATAACACGTGTCTAAGGNCTGACACAGTTCANGGTTATGCCATGGTTATACAGTCAAGTACACGAGGATGTTATGGTTATGAATCAAAGAGAAACAGTGAGGAAGAAGTTGTTAACTCAGGAAGATGGATCACATCTTGANAGACGCAAGTAACTTTGAAGGATCCAAGTTCCAGGTGGAGTCATTGGTATTACAGAAACGTGATGCANGTTCAAAGAANTTGAATTGTGATTCGAGGTGGAGCTGTGAAGTTTTAGTGTCTCGGTTGTCTGGTTCCTTAAAGACATAATATGAGTTAAAGGTTTATCAACTTATTGGCCGTGAGTTTGAGAAGAAATCAGTCACTGTTTGGGTATGATTCATTTTGTGTGTGAAGAAGATAAGAGTTTAAGAACAGGTAAAGATGTCTAAATTCCAAGCAAAATCAGGTTGCAACATGAGGTAAAATGGAAAGCTTTCTAAATTGATTGGATGCTTGATAATAGATAGACATCTGGATTATCAGTTGCAGGGTTCAGAAGGTCGTTGCGACTAAAGTATGATTTAAGATGGAAGGAGAGAAAAGGTAATTTTATGGAATTCTCTTGGGAGAAATCGAATGTGACAAATTTGCAAGGTGTTGCAGATATTGTCCAAGTATGTTGATGTGAAGTGCATGAAGCATAGTCAAGTATATTCATCTTAAAGGAGCAGGTGAAAGCAACTGAAAATGATCCTAGAAAGGATGAGAAATCACGAAAAAAAAAAAACAGATTGCATTCGGAGACAGTAGCTGGTGAGAATTCTGGCGGTGTCATGTTGTTGCACATGGAGACTTGGGAGAAATCTTTTAGGAAGACACTAGCTGGGTTGTTAAGTGAAATTCCTTTCGTATCAGAGGCACGGTGAAGTGAAACTGATGTATAAATGAAAGATTCTCGGTATAAAGTCTGAGAAGGATTGTTATGCAAGTACCAAGGTTTGGTGGAGTTCTGCATACTAGTTTGAGGTATTGCAGAAGTGGTCTTTACAGCGAGAATGTGCCTTCGAGAGTTCTAGAGTGAAGAGCTAAAGGCTGTAAAGAGGAGTCTCAAAAGAGTTTGGACAAGAGGTTGAGCAAAGATATTTGTTTCGAGAGTCTTCGTAACTAGGTGGAGTTAGGCGGCGTGTTCTGTTGGCAATAACAGCGGTACAAAGTGACGTTCAGTGTGTTCAAACAGGTCATGAGCAAGTCCAAGACTGTTTCAGGAAAATGAAGCATGAGTGACTTAAGAGTTTTCTGCAGTTGATTCAAGAGAGTGTGCAAACAGTTCTGTTAAAACGTGGTGCATCTCTAATAGCACTTTTGAATATTTCTCGAGCGATTGAATTGGCTCCTGGTTTTTCCAGTTCAACCTCACAACTATCAAAACCAGAGTGTTTTCAAAAAAATAAATAAATAAACTATCAAAACCAGAGGGCAAAATGTTAATATAAAATACCTAGCGTTTCGAACATTTTTATTATAAAATCTCGAGAAATATGTGTTAAGTATGATTAAAATGACTAAAAATGGGCATACTGATAGGGCTTTAGGGCAATCAAACGATTGAG